ATGTTTATGTGTTTAGTTTGTGAAAAATAAAAACCTTGAAGTATAGTCTGTCACGAGCCAATGTGGCCTATCAGGCCGGCGTTTATCTCCGGTTTCAGAAGCGTGAAACGACTGAGAATATTTCTACTCCCCCTGGATGGGATGCTAGTCCATCGCAGGTTATTCCCCAGCTAATGCTGGTACCCATTTATACTCCTGGGTGGAGAGACACAAGTGGGGGTGAAGTGGCTTGCCCAAGGACACAACATATGGCCAGCAGCTGGATAGGAACCCCTGACCCTCTGATCGTGAGTCACACTTCGAAATTTCAGGATACTTCAGACAAAACAGAGCAATTACTGGATGGACGTCAGGGAATTGTCTGGTCAGGGAACCAGACTAGCTGGTCTGCACCCGTTCACAGATGTGTAACCGGTTGCAAACAAAATGTGGACTTACTAAATTTGGTAAATTTGGGGAAGTATTTTTTAAAAAGGCAGTGTTTTTCCAACGATGGACGGCCAACCATCGTTGGAAATTTATACAAAAATTCCCCTTTTCTTGGAAATGACAGCACACCAGGTGCCATGATTTCACAGAATGCTTGAGACTATTATTCACTTAAAGTCAAGTAAGGTATTTCATAATAATTTGGTCTTTTTGTTTTTTTATGCTTGCAAATTTTGTACATGTATACTAGTACCATTGCTAATCAGTGTTTCCTGCTGAGTAACTCCAATTAGTTGCCCCCAAACAATTATCATTAATTAAAGATATCATTAATTAGAGAAATAAATTATAAAAACAAATTAATGACAATTTCATCACTTGAAAAATCCATTAGACTTTTGGCCCATTTTCCCGCTGTCCTTGATGCCTAATGAAATATTGATTGTGTTGATATGTGCGTTGAGGACTTCTTGCTGATGAGTTGACATTCTGTGGACAACAGAGGGCGCTATATCAAATCAGTTGCAAACACATTTTGGTGGCGGGCTTCAGAGTGTTGCAATTATGAAGTAACAGTGAGAAGTACCGTACAAGCATTATCTAGATGATTATCTCAAGAATCAGTATTTGTGGTGTGTGACTTAATTTAAAATTTGGCCAATATAAACTATAATCTCAACGGCAAGTGGTTTAATAAGTTGACAGTTCAGAGACAATAGAGGGTGCTATTTATAATCCATATGCTCAACTCTTCCTGTGTTGTGTTGAGGTAGAGATGCTAAGTGCGATGTCGTCATTCAAGAAATCAGTCTCGATCACTTCACAAATTTTGTAAACAATTACTAAATGATGGCACATGTCAGTGTGGCACATGGGTCTTTTTGAGGAGCCTGACACATGATACTCGGGCAAAGCCGTCCAGATTGTGAAAAAAACAACAGCTGTAAAATGAACCATAAAAAGTTCCTTTTAAGTTAAACCAAAAAAAAAGGTAATCTGGAGGTTGCAGGTTCAAACCCCACTCCAGTCAGTTTCTTTGTTCAACTTTACAAGTAGCACCAAGTCAGTTTCCCTTTGTGGTTTCTTCAAACAAAATTAGCCCAATAGGATGACCAGCATTTGCTAATTTCTTTCAATGTTAGTTAATTTGTGGAAGAAACGCTTGATAAGTTTGTGGAGCATTTAATCATTCTAAGTGTACAGGCACTAGTTATGGAACTTTGTAGTTTATGTGCATGCAGATAACTTTAACTGCAATGAATATGCTGTATACATGTATATGACCAACAGAGGGCCTCCTCCACAATGACCATGCTTACACGTACACGGAGCAGATCGAGATATATGGAACATGTAATGGCGCCCTCTTGTGAGATGCCACTTACTCTAAAGAGTGCCTTTGGCAAGATTTGTAATACAATTGTAGAATAAATCTCTATTAATACATGCATAAACATGTACCAGGTACATGTAAATTCCAATTTTTTGTTGATGTGGAATTTTTTTATGAGACAGTAAATGTCTTCTTTTGGATGTGATAAGATGTTCATATTCTTTGTTTACATCTCATAGAATGGGTTTAAACATAAGGAAGAATGCAATACGTCCTCATTTTAGCCCAGCAGATATCATGCTACATAGTACGGTACATGTATCTAATTAAAACAAGTGCACGGCATCTGCACATGAATCTTATTTATAATATTTACTGTAGGAATCAACCAAATTGTGGATATTTAAAAGAATGACTAATTCACACTGACACAATGCCAGCAACTGTGTGCAGAATACTTTTCTTTGTACATGTATTGTAGGTGTTAATAAATTGAAATAACTATTTAGGCTCTCTCTAAGATGGTTGCTGTGCACAAGGTCTATGAACCAAGTCAATTACTTCGTGTATGCACACAGGTGTACATCACCTGCATTTAACAATTAGCGCACCTGTGAGGATATCCCAGCAGAGTATACTTAAGACATTCCAAAGCTTAATGAAGTAATCCCCTAATGACCTTTTAACACACGTTCAGTCCACATGGTTTCTTCCTTTGATTACCTTTTAGTATTTCTCTTTTATGCATGGGGAGGGGGATAATGTATATTAACTTAGAAGTACTCCAGACTCCGGACCTTGTCCAGACCTCGTTTCTCAGATATTTTCTGATGTGCATTTGTTTTTGGCATTTTCTAGGAGGATGTCATAAATGTACATGTACCGGTAATTTGCTTCAAGTAATGATAGAAATGACAGAAATTTCTACTTTCCTTTACCTGTACAAACACGTTAATAGAGTCAGAACCTAATTTTTTGCGTCAAGGTTTCCCAGTGACCTGCAGCGGTAATATCAGAGCCGTATCTAATTCCCACTCGTCCCTGTTTTTCTTTAATAGCAATGATACTTTTGGTGAAGGTACATCGTTTTTCTTCTAGTAAGACTAGAAATTTGGTGCTGTTGTACGGTCGTCAGCGTTTCCCAATGACGACACTGAGGAATAACGTGAGAATCCTAACACAACACTTCTCGCATCACACCCGCGGATTCTGTTCAGGATGCCTATGCGCTCTAGCGCGTCTTTAAGACGCTGGGGGTCCCCCACACCTTAGCCGGAGCGCCGGGCTGTCTGTAACCAAAATCTATTTATTAGGCGCTCGCAGCTGACACCTGCACTAGTTTATGGCCCGCAAATTAAATGAGCGCAGAACTTTGCCTTTTTTTTTTCCATCCGGCTTTTTTTTCTTTTCTTTGGTCAGTGCGTCAAGCTCTGGCTGAATTCTATCTGGTGGATGTTGACAGGTTAGAAGCTGGAAAGTTAAGAGACGAAGAATGTAAGACTCAGGCCAGGGAGGTTTATTGTCCAAAATGGCTGAGGGAGTAGCTGATGGGGTCACGATGGTGATGTTTGTGGTGATAGTAGTAGTAGTTGTGATTTTTGGTATTGGTGATTGTGATGATTAGTGATGGTGATGGCTGTTGTGGCAATTTTGGTAATTATGATGGTGGTGGTGTTGTGGTAAGAGTGGTGATGATTTTGATGGTGATGGTGATATGATGATTGTGGTGATTATAGTGGTGATGATAGTTGTGATTAAAGTGGTATAATGGTAATAGTGGAGTGACCCCATCACCATCATGACCCCAATAGTGGAGTGCTGTGGCCTCGTGGTTAAGGGCACTGATTCGTGGTCTGTGGGTAAAGCTGCAGGTTGTGGGTTCGAGTCCTGGCGGGGCCATGGTGCGTGTGCCCTTGGGCAAGGCACTTTGTCACTCATTGCTTCTCTCCACCCAGGAGTAAAAGGGTACCTGTGAGGGCACAGATGGTTATTGTGATTGAATTAGCTTCATTGCGCCTAACAGGCTGCATCGAGCTGTATACTCCCCAGGGAGCTGAGATGGTATTTGGAATGTTGCATGTGCCCAATGAGCAGGGGTAATAATGATGTAGCACCTTGATCACCAGTCCTGGTGGATACGTGCGCTTTATAAATATCCACTATTATTATTATATTATTAATAGTGATGTGGTGATTGTGATGATAATAGCAGTGATGATTTTGATGATAATATAGGTGATGGTGAGGTTAGGACTGTAGGCTTCTAGATCCAAGCTTGTTTGCAGGGCTCTAGCTGTCAGTAGAGGGCAGTAGTTGTGGTAAAAAATGATCAGATTATGGTATGATAAAACATGCGCTATTGTGTTTTCATGCAAAGTACATGTACATCATAAAATAGCAATTGATTTTCTCAACAGTGAACAAAAGAGCTAATTTTATCTGTAAAAATTAAACCAAACCAGGATGTCTCATTATTTTCCATACCATTCAAAGAGTATAGATCAGGGAAAAAATTCCACACCAAAAATTGCAAACAAATTTCACATTGTGAAATTCATTTCTGTGCCGCGCTCCTTTAAAATGCCAAAACATTTCGTCTGGTAATGTTTTCAGGATTTCAGAGTAATTGTAAGCCAGCAGGCTTGCCATAACGTCTCAATATACCCTCAGTGTCTTTTAATAGAAACTCTTGTAAACCCAATTCAGATTCGGAATATTCAACAATCACCTGGTATGCACGTGTATTATTCCCAAGATAGCTCATTCATTGATGCCATGCACCACAGAACCACTTACCTGGTCTCTTACTTCCTATTCATTATTAACGCATTCATCAGACACCCCCCCCCCCTCCATACATGATTCAAATCTCCATCTTGAGCACCTCTGGGCTGGGCGATTCTTAAAAGTGCCTTAAGAAGATGCCCCCCCTTTTTTTTTGCCTCTTTCATCTTGTTTGTAGATGGATGACGGATGTTTTGTTTGCCGACAGTCCGGTTTGCGCATGGAGATAAAGGCTAAAAGCTCAATGCTTTAACCCCAATTAATTGGGGAATCTATTCTGCTCACGCCTTGAGTTGTGTGCAGTGTGTGTGCTCACCCCTAAAGACCTTCACTCACAGCACACACAGGCTGTTTGAGATTTGTGACCGTGCATGGCCTTTTGCTTGCGGGGCGTTAGCATCCAACCCAACTGGACATAATTATTTTCAAGAGAACTGTTTGGCATGATATTTCTGTTTATTGTGACTGGATTTTTTGCTTCACTGTGAGTTTTATAAAGTTCAGTGCTTGCAGGTCAAATTCCAAAGTCTCATGTTTAGTTGTCAACACTTCTGTCAGGGTCTCTGCAGAGCCCCTTCCAAATTAAGCTGAAAATGCAAGACGATGTGTTTCATTCTTAACGTTATGAAACTCTCATCACCCATGAAAACTGCTCAGCCTGAAGCTGTAAACCTATCTGGTGAGAGTGTTATTTCCCCGTGTTTTTTTTTTTTTCGCCTTGTCCAACATGATCGTCTTTTAAAAGAAATTTCACCAGCGGTTTCGTTTGCCTAGCTCCGTCTTTCACCAACTTGGGTTTACTCTTTTGGCTCGTCGGCAAATGTTACGAGGGGTCGTTCCCAGTAGAAGAAATTGAAACCGTCCACACCTGCGCTAAAGGTGCAGTGCATGAGAGCTCATTGTGAATTTGCGAGTTTGGAGACGGAGGGACATGTGCGGATACGGGCAGCGAGTCCAACCTCGGGATAATTCTTGCAATTTCTTTCAGGATTTACCGGGAATTACACGGTCAGCAAGGAAAATTATACGACGCTAATGCTGCCTGGTTATTCTCTGGTAAAGGGGAAAAAACCCTGCCCGTCTTGCGGAGACAGGTTTGTGTAGGGACTGCAGAGGAAGAAAATCAGATTTGTTTATAGAGCTAAATTTGAGACTGCCTGAGAAATTTAATATTTCTCCATCGTTACGAATGAAGATTTTTCAACGGTGTCTTAAAAAGAACAGAGTTGCTACAGAAACTTGATGTCAGAAATCTGTGTACTTTTAGTGTGGCTTGAGCAAGTTGGCTGTTACCCTGACAAATTAAGCTATAGTTTCTTGATTTAAAGAGATTTCTTGTTGGCATGGTTTTCTCATCTTCACATTTATCTCTAATTGGCTTCAAAAGTGGACCCTCTTTGTTCAGCCGGCAGAACTCATTACTCTGTCAAAATAACCTGTTTCGGACAGCTACGAGATAAATTTGTCTGGCAAAATTGGAATATTAGCGGAGGAATTTAGACTTTGACTTTGCACTTTAAACAAGCAGAAGCATTTGCAAAAATCCATGCCAGCTGGCATATATTCGAGTTCGACGGAAGCCTCCAGGGGCTGTTTAGGGAAAAAAAATACTGCGTCGTCGTCAGTGAACGTGGGAATGATGTACATGTGATAATGTAACACTGGATCGTTTGCAAGTGTTAAACCTCCGATTGGAAATATTATCACCTTATGAATTACCCCATCTGTTCCCAGATAACATCAGGTTTTACATTGCAGGAAGCGTTTTTTATTCCAACGTGCATAATTATATCTGGCCATTAATGGAATGCTGTAAAGGCTATTACCGAGAAGAAAGAAAAGGAGAAATGAAAAAAAAATAATGATAATACGCCACCAGATTGCCGATATTGCTTTTTTTTTGTAGCGTGCAAGCGGTGTACTTTAATGTAGAATAAAATAGCCAGAATTAAATTGCAGTTGCTAATTGTGGTGTATGAAGAGACCTGCATATGTATGTTTATACTTGCGTCAGATTTGTTGACTGATAGAACAACACTTCAAGACTCCGAGAGTAAAATTGATGTGTGAAAAGTGTGAATGAACCATTGCCAAGGTAACGCAAGCAGTATCTCTGTTTTTTTTTACAACGCGTTGGAGGACAATAAAAGAAAACCAGCTGCTGAGGCACAAAAGAAGTAGAAAAATGTCTGCCCACTTGGCCGGCTGTGTGCTTTAGCTCGACCGAACGGAGTATTTACTTGTCGGAGCTCCGACATAATTTACTCCCGGCTGCTGGGGGTCACTGTTGCTGTCCGTCAAGATTCTTTTAATTCACATGTCCATGACGGCTGTGATGGATGCCGTGCATCTCTGAGACGGAGACCAGGATAATAACCAAGCCAAGCCGTACGTGGATGTCAAGTCACCGCATACTCACGTGCACAACGTGCCGTCATGCTACATCTTTAGAACTCATTAACGTGTTTGACATTACGGTTCTGATTTCTGAAGTTGAAGGGCTTTCATGTTTTTAATGCGGCACAGGAGCTTATTTTGCACTTGAGTGTATCTTTTGTTGGCAACGCAGCCGGTACCCGACCACATCAGCTGTATGCGCAACAAGCCGGTGTCATCCACTCTAATGTACACACTCACTGTGCTGGCATCAACTCCCTCCTCGAGGCTTGCGTCTTTTATAATATCACGCTGACTCTATTACCACTGTGGTAACCAAAAAAAAAAAAACACACACCAAATATTGAGCTGCTGGGCTTCAGGCTACATTCACAGCCAGTGTCACCGACTGAATTACCATAACGGACATCGGGCGAAGCAAAAGGGGAACCTGGTCCTCTCAGTTCACGCAGTAACAACACCACCCCTCAGTGATGTAGGCCTACATACATTCAAGGTGCTGTTGGTGGATTTCTTTTTATCTATCCTGCTGCCGGCACAATTCTCATCTCGAGATGATTATATGCATTCCTGTGAACAGTCGTTAAGTATTTCTTGAGGGAGTAGGTTATTGCACGGCTACTGAATAGGCCCTTGTGCCCCACGTGTGCGGGAGGCACATGATACTCCAACATATCTGCTGCTGCAATCACCAAAAAAATCAGTCCGCAGTCATCTTTTTTCTTTCTTTCATAACCTTCTCCGACCTCTTATTTTCCGGTCAGAAGTTTTGCTCTATTGGCGAACGGCTGAGGCGGATTAATCCGTTTTTCACAGTGCACTTGATCATCTGAATAAAAAAACAAACAAACCAAAAAAACAAGAGAGAAACGGCTGAGGATTTCCACATGCCACCTGTGAATGCCCAGTCGAGGGTGTCGAGTCGGCTTTCATTGCCCTCCTGGTGTAGGGCGCGACGACAACGCTGCGGCAACGGCTACAATCTCATGATGACCGCGCAGGGGATCATAAACCGGCCCCTCTTTGTGCCCTGCACTTCGGCCCTGGTCATGGCTCTGAAGGACCAAGCCCAGAGCGTGGTGGACATGGTCATGGTTGGTCAGTATATATTTGTTTCTTTCTTTCTTAAAACTTTGACTTGGGCGAATAGTTGCCTTTTCCCCCCATGTTCAGCGGCGTGTATATTTATGGTTTTGTAATGATTGTATTTACAATGTATGTAATTCCAGGCAGGTTCTATATAGCACTGCCATCATCATGATAAGATACATATATTATGCATCATGTATTAGTAAATAAGATGAGTAAAATTGAAGTTGAAAATTTTAATATTAGTTGATTTCAAATATATCTCTTTGAATGGGGAATTTTGGGTGGCTCATACCCACCTCGAAAGTCGCTTTTAAAATTTAGTTAAAGATTTACCACATCCCACATTCAGGGAATTTGCCTTGACTGCAGTGAGACGTCATATTCGCTTTGCGTGAAGTGTGAAACAGGCTTTAATTGGCCTCAATTAGTTACCAAGACAATGTTTTATATATTCATATTGGCTAGTCAACAGTATACACAAAGAGTAAAAACAGTTTTTGCTTCCACTTTGTGGTCCTGGCAGAGCATACATATGTAATTGTTTCCGAAGTAACCTGCATGTTGTACATGTATACTCAGTTCATCGAAAAACTAGGGCACACATTGGCCTGTGTAATTCAGCAAACACTTATAGCTGTTGATGCGTTAAAAAATACACAGCCTGTAGAAATTATGGCAATATTGATCAGAAATTCATTATTAAAATTGAGCTGTAACATTTTTTAAAGGGTATCCACCTGGACCCAAATTGTGCTATTGAAGTGTAAGAAATCCAGTATGTGCATACTGAAAATCAAATTAGCGCATTATCGTTAAAACCATGCACCTTTGCTCAAAAAACAAACATGTACATAAATGGGGACGAATTAAATATCCACACTTTTGCTTAAACATAAATGTGTAGGCGGGGCAAATTTCAAAAAAGAAAAAATGAAAATTAATTCACATAGGTATTCCTGAGTGTAGCCTAATCCGGCGGCAGCCATTTTCTGCGGTGACACGAGGCGCGCGAGTTGCACTCAGGTATTACACGAATGCCCTCCGGGCTCCATCGACCAATAGGAATACCAAAATGCGCGCGCGCCTCGTTTTTAAGCATGCGTGCAGCATGCGCGTGAGCGTGACTCCATCGCAGTAAAAGCTTCTAATTCTAGTCGCCGGATTCCACTATAATGTACACTCTTCGAACACGCCTCGACTTGCTGATCAATTCTAATTCCACCTACATTAAATCATTATTAATATCATAATCTGTCAAATTAATAAAAGAAGGCATGCTGTGTTGTGGGAGAGAGACATGCAGCAGAGAGATGAGGGTGGAGCCAAAATATACACAAATAAAAAAATCCATAATTTTCCGAGTGTTGAGGGCCGCAGGAATCGAAGCCCGGGCATTGCTGAAGCCTGTTCTCATAGCCCATAATTGGACAAATATTATCGACCGGCTTTCTGATAGCGTGTACATACTAGCTAGATAAACAGCGGTTTGGGTGTTTTTAACGAGCAGTGTACCGTAAATCTACCTTCTTAGCTTGGGTGAAATTTGGATGTATGATTCCAGTAGAGTTGGATGTAGTAGAGTTGAAGATATATTTTTGAAGTGATCTTTTGCTGCCAATACATGTACAGTGAATTGTTTTTGTCATATTATTATTTTCATTCAAATCGACATCACAAATGTAAGCATTGAAGAACATTCAGGGAAAAAAATTCTCAAAATCCAAGTTATTTGTCCATGTGAATATATGTTGTAGTGTTATTTGTTTGGCTTGGCACAAAAAACAACATCTGGTACTGAGTAGCAGTTTCCAGTTTTAACCAGCAAAATGATAAAAACCAGACTTTCCTTGCTAAGTTGCCTATTCAGTTTCGTAAAGTATTAAATGATCCACTGCACGTGAACGCACACCACAGCCCCACAAATTTTGAAAAATCTTGACAAGTGCAATGATTTTCCTGTTTTTGGAAATCTGCGTAAGTTTTTTTCTATGCAGGGTATTGAGTCCATGCATTTTTAGTGTATCTTAAAACCAGATTTTGTATGTCATAAAATTATAAAAAGATTTCTGTATATTTTCCTTTTTGAGGTCTATGAAGTCAGGAAAATGTCAATTTTCCAAATGAAGTCTCCCCCTCTTTGCCAACGTCATTTTTTTGTTTGCATCATTGAAGAGCAAAGTTCAATGTTAAGTTAAGTTTGTATGTTTCCTTTTTCTGACTGAAAATCTGAAAAATTATCAGTTTTTTGAGGTAGTTATTGTTTGTCACTCTGAACTAACGTCGTCACGCATTGTTGATTCCGTCCTTGTCAGCCATCACACGCCTTGCGCCGATATTGACAAGCTCTGCTCAAATGAAATGATGTGAGAAATGGGTTTGACACGGGTAGCCCACGATAGTTTTCCCCCCCCCCCTTCCCCCGTCCTCTCTTTTCTCTTTCTCCATCCATAAACCTCTCACAATTCCTTGACGTGGTTCTTCATGCATTTATGCAACGGCCAAGCTCCAGCCGACCCCGCAATTGCGAACAAATTTGGCTCAGGAGGCAGATTTGTTTTATTGATGTTGTTTGTGCTTGTGTGTGTATCTGGGCTTGTACGTGGGCGTCTGTTCACACAATTAAAGGGATGAGCATCTAATACACTTTTTTTCTGATTTTTTGGGGGGTTAAATTGTGATAAGTGAAAAGCCACTGCGCAAACCATGATGAAATGCCATTGTTCATCATGCTTGAACGTGTGAAGTTTATTTTTAAAAGTTTCTTGTAAAAGTGTTTTTGTTGACGACAGATTTCCATGGTAATCACAGAGTAATGCAAAATTTGAAGTACATACAAAGCAAAACCAGTGTCATCCTGTGGACACCTGACACACGGAAATAAAAAACAAGAAGAAACCAAGGAAACATAAACGAAATTCATATGTGAAAACCTTGATGTGGAAATGGCAGACCTGCGAGTCCTAATGAACGACAAGTCCTTGTGGAGGGTGCTTGCCAATGCCCGGCCTCGGCCGACCAATGATGACGAACATGTCAAATGCCGCACCATAAAAATCATGATAATTCCCTGCAAAATACGTTCACTAAATGGTTGGGGGGGGGCAGGGTTTGCATTATAAACAACGCTTACAGAACCATACGCTTGCATTTGGTCAAAGGCAACATATCAGTTCATTGGAATAAATTCAAGTGACATTAACAAACGCATAGTGTACGTGCACTTGCATTATTATCGGTACCGGTAGCTCAATATCATCAATTCATAAACTGAAAGCTGACATCATACTAAACAGAAAGGCATTTCACGCACATCTGTTCATATATGGAAACGTTTACTATTGGATTAGGTTTATTACAATTCAAAATCATCCATGGCATCCTCTCCCTATTATTTGCTATTGAATAAGACCTATTGATAATTGGCTTGTCAAGCAGCTGACACATTGTACGTGTATTTGTGGTCATGTGCTACATGTATTAAGGCTGGTTTAAAGTTGGTCGCGTGATGGTCGCGCGACTGAAAAATTTACACGCAATCTTCCTTAACGCAGTTTATAGTTCTCGTTAACGCCCCAGCGACTAGTCGCCAAAGGACGTTGGTGACGTCGCTACACAGTTCAAATAGTTGGACCTAGACATGGTCGCTGACCTCAATTTTCATGATTTGACCAATCGGCTTGCTTTATCTGTAAGACTAATGAATATGCAAATATGGCACACAGATAATAACTGACCAATGTCCCTTGGATAGGGAGGGCAGTGGGGATGAGCAAAGGTTTTGTAAAGCAATTTCCTGGTATTTTTTTTATTTGGTGGGCTTATAACAGAATTGAAAATTCACCCCCCCCCCAAAAAAAAGCATTCTTTCAAAATTTCCCAGCCAATATTTTGTGAAATAAATTTCTTCCTGATGTTGAGGGGCGAATCATCAGAAACCAACAATCAACATATTTGTTCATTTACATATAACAAATTTACGTTTTAACAAATGCAACATGAAACAACAACCGTCAGAGTGAGAAATAGTAATATTTTGTTCAACAATAGTGATGCTTGATCATCACACTTCACAGTTGAATTTTAGGGAACGTAGCGCGAATGATGCACGTATATGTTACATCTATGCGCGACAACTATAAACTGCCCGAAAAAGGCTTAGCGTTGAGTGACCATCAGCACCGTACATTCATCATCGCGCAACCAAATATAAACCAGCCTCTACTGTACAGCTGCTACATACATGTATGGTAACTACATGCTGCAACACAAGAGTCACTTGAATTTTTTTCTCTCAAATCACGTAATACGCATAGATGTATACATGCATGTCCCAGGTGAACCAACTGCCTAAATAAATTAGGCTCAGTATGCCCCTCTGGCTATGGAATCAAGTAGTGGGAATGCTTCAGTCGGTGTGAATTTACAATGATCTGGAATAAGTTAACACATATAGCTGCATGGTTTACACAACCGCAATATCTTGTGGGAATTGTTTTCTTTCTGCATGCCTGACTGCAGTTTTCCCAACGGTGACATTTTGTTTTGGAAAAAAAATTAAGTTGTGGTTATGATTGTACAGTAGAAGTTATCTTCCAACTATCAACACATACATGTTTCTCCTTCAGCCCACTTCAATATCATGAACAGCTGTTCCTAACATTTTTCAGATAACACTGCCCATTCCCTGTTTTTATAAACCATTCCTCACATCCACGCAATTAACTACTCCGCTTTTGTACACTTCCAAAAAAAATACCAATCCCACCCAGAGCATTGTGCAAGTCCGAAACGCAAACTCCTCATACCAACTTTTCTTTTTAATAATCAAAATGTATCGAGCGTATGTACTTTTTCCTCCTTTTTCCACTGGCAAAAACCGTTCCCCATGTTATTTTATGACAACGCTCATACAATCCTCCCCTCCATATCGCTCATTGTGTTTTGACACCCATAGCAGTTGCCTTGTTGTCACCGAGACGGTGTTCGGACCCGTACTGTTTTCGGTC